GGGACTTTTATTTATTGTCTGCAAGTCCAACAAGTATACTAAATTTATAAAATTCCCAATGATCCCCTCCTAGTTTTGAGTTTATATTACCTATTATCTGCACCTTCTGGGAACTAATTTATCATAAATACTATAGTTTCTAGTATAAACTATCCTCATTTTCACATTTATTACATTCTTCTCTTCACTCCCTTAGTATCATTTCCAAAACTGCCTAATAACAATTGCAGTGGCAACATAATGTTGCACTGTGTCAAATAAGACTATTTATCTCAAAGCTCTCTCTATAAAACACTACTAAAATAACATGTAAGAATGTAATACGTAATGAAACAATATGTGTTCCAATACATTACCTTCTTGCTAGCATTATCATTGGGCTCTTCTGAACTTTATTCTGCATACCTTAAAATCAATCTATTATAGCTCACTATTTATAAAGTAAAATATGGTTTATTTTATGAAGAAGTAAAAAAAAAAACTGTGAATGTGGTTTATACTTATTTTAAATAAAAATGTTTCCTTATCAGTAAAATAAATGAGTTAAACTTTGATAATTTCTAAAAACCTATCCCCCAACAATAGATTCCTTCTATGTTTCTAAAGTACGAAATTAGGCTTATCTGACAGCATGATCCAAAAATGTCTGGAAGTCGCTTGGATAAAATTTAAACATCTGTCCATGGATAAATGATCTGATTTTCAGGCTTTAACACAGTTAATTTTAGTTATAATAATGTGTTATTCTTCATAAAAGATACTGCTACTGATGTCCTGTCAATAAAGCATATGCACATTCTTTTGGATGTCAAGATAGTTACCTTGTCTCAACTTTCCTGGTGACTAAAAATACTAATCTCTAGGGGTAGACTAAAGTTAAGAGTGATATCTGTAATTATGAAAGAGAACAAAGCAAACCAGCTTGTGTGGGTTAAGTACTCCAATCTCAGTCTCAATTTCTCAGGCAAGAAACTGTGGAACATCTGTTCTGTGCTTGATGCTCCAAAGATGCTTAAATGGTCAGCACCGTGGCCACTTTCAAAAACTAAAACTTCTACAGATAAATCATATCTATTTTTACTTATACAATCAGCCTTCAAAAGAATGTGCCTAAAGTTTATCCCGTAATTCTGTTCTTCTCAATTCTGAATAATTTCTAAAACCAATAGCTTTCATATCTGAGGCAGATAACATACAGCTTACATGAAAACTTTCTGCTACTACAGCAAATTTTAGGGGAAGCTTTTATCAGTAAGTAAAATGTCATAAAGTCTTCTGCTGACATTTTTTCCACGTTCTCAGTTTTACCACATTAGTAGTTAGATCCACCAAAATCCATAGTAAAATAAATAGAAAATCCACCCTTCCAATGGAGCGGATTTTGTCACCATCTTAATCCACTATGACAGCATATTTTTTTTGAGACATAGTCTCACTCTGTCTCGCAGGCTGGAGTGCAGGGGCACGATCTTGGCTCACTAAACCTCTGCATCCCAGGTTCTAGCAATTCTCATGCTTAAGCATCCCAAGTAGCTAGGACTACAGGCACACGCTATGACAACCAGCTAATTTTTTTGTATTATAGTAGAAATGGGGTTTCACCATGTTGCCCAGGCTGGTCTCGAACTCTTGAGCTCGGGAAATCCACCTTCCTGGGCCTGCCAAAGTGCTAGGATTATAGGCATGAATCACTGTGCCTGGCCCCACTATGGCACCAATATTAAGAATAGGAAAGTCTAGGTAAATAAATTACATTTATTAAATGCTTACCAAGCTCCTTAAAAAAAAATCTCATTTAATTTTCCTTATAATTACTATTACCACAATAATGCAGAATAGAAACAATCCAAAGGATTAAGTAACTAGGTGAATAAGTGGCTTAATCAGGGCAGGATTCAGGTCAGATATGCCTAATGCCAAAACCCCTGCTATTATTTATGCAACTCTCCCTTAATTTACTTGGTTCTATGTTATACCTAGCATTAAAGTTAAATTCTAACCCTCACTTGTCTCTCCTTCCTGAAGTTTAAAAAACTTTTTCACTTATTTAATACTAAAATGACTGCAATTTTTCCCATCCCCTAAACCAGTTTCGCTTCTTCCTCTTTCCTCCCCTTCTCTTTTCATATACAAAGAAAGAATCTTGACTTTGTTCTTGTATTCAGACTTTCTTTTCACTCTTATATTTTATTAATGCTACAGGCACATTATTTCTCCAAGTCAAGAGTAAACAGCAAACTTCTCTGCCCCTTCCCCTTAACTGTAAGCTGCTGATTACCGAAAGGCCCTGGCTATTGATCTCAAAGCTAGAGGACAGTTTACATGCACAATGAGCTAGACAGAGCGGCTAGCTTTTTCTCAGCCTTAGGCAGCAAATGCTGATCAAGTGTCTGCTCGAACAGGATATCTGGAAAGAATACCTGAAATCGATGTTGCTCAACACAAAGGTATTCAGGAAAATTTGAATTGTACTGCTTCTTCTCTTCATTTATATAGGGGAAGTGATGAGAACCATGATAAAATATAAAAACGTGATGTAATTTCATACTGATTTGTTTATGTAGCTTTGAAAATGGTAAAAACTAAGTTTAGTGAAGTTAAACGGATTCCGATTCATTAGCATCACTTTTAATAGAACAGTTACAACATTTGGAACATACATCTTTATTATAAATTCTGAAGTATTGGAGTCTTTTTTCTGAAAATAGCTAAATATTTCTTTAAAGTCTTCCCCCAGTGCTGTGCACTTGCTAATCCTCCTAAGGTCTAGGTTCTAAAGTTCAGCTAATGGAGAATGTTCCATTACATACTGAACCCTGAAATATATTTTAAGACAAAGAGTATTATTTTGGTAATTAAAAAAAAAAAAGGAGGCTGGGCGCGGTGGCTCATGTCTGTAATCCCAGCACTTTGGGAGGCTGAGGCGAGCAGATCGCCTGAGGTCAGGAGTTTGAGACAAGCCTGGCCAATATGGCAAAACCTCATTTCTACTAAAAATACAAAAATTAGCCAGGCGTGGTGGCACGCGCCTGTAGTCTCAACTACCCTGGAGGCTGAGGCATGAGAATTGCTTGAACCTGGGAGTTGGAGGTTGCAGTGAGCTGAGATTGAGCCACTGCACTCTGGCCTGGGCAATAGAGCAAGATTCCATCTCAAGAAAAAAGAAAGTAAAAATATGTGACACTGTACTTAGACTGAAAGAAGCAGTTTTTTCTGCGTTTAAATAGGAACAAGTCACATGCCTATGCAAATATATTCCCTTATCATAACAGTAAGGAGTAGTGACTATGTGTACACATAGATACATACATAGATACAGACATAGACTATTTAATCTTAAACATTCACTTGAATTTAAAAACATATATTTACATTTCAAAAAGAGAAAAGGGATAAGATCATCACAATTAATGCTTTTCTCTAGTTCTTTGAAATTACTCAAATAACACAAACATTAGAAAACAAAAAGTTATAAGCCCTGGAATCCAAGACTATAGCTCAGCCACATCGGAAATAATTTATTCAACACCATATCTCTGACCTTGAGTCAAGACAATATACTAGAGATCTTAACTCTTTGCTGTAAAAGAGAATTCACTAAGTTCAAGTTTCAAACAACACTTAGTCTCACAACACTTATTCTCACATAGTCTTTACTCGCACTATTCTATACAGCAGTCACATGTGGTTACTGAGCACACGAGCCACATATGGTAACTGGGCTCTTGAGACTAGATAAACCTTGGATTTTGAAAACTTTCATTAAAATAAGTAAAATACTTCATTCGTTTATGTTGAAAACATATTGAAATATTTTTGATATACTGGATTAAATTATATTATTAAAATAATTTCACCTGTTTCTTTTAATGAGTTTTAACGTGGCTCCTAGAAAATTTTTAAGCAACTTGTATTACATTTCTATTGAACAGTGTTGCCTATGCCACTCAATCTAGCACTTAATAACCATAGCATTTTTTTCAAACAAGCTCAAACCCTCTAAATGAGGTAACTGTCCTTTACTTGGCCCATGCAATTTTCTGTGCTGATCTTGTCTTTCCAAGTAGATTAGACAGTGAAGTAACTAATAACCGGCTACTAATTTCATTCATTCATTCAAAACTACAATCTTAATTTTATCAGAAGAGGATCTTTATCTTTCAGGATCCATTAAGTATGTTTGTCTGGAAATATTTGATGAGAACCAAGATTCCCTCCAAGGAAGTATTTTATCAACTCCTTAAACTCCTATAGAAATAGATGTGATCTCGGTCAGTACATTTAGGAGAATTTATCCTTGAGGGTATATTTTTAAAAATCGCTAATATTTTCCTTATTTTATTCATCAATCTTTTAATGGATATCCCTTCCTCATTCCAAACAGATTTAAGATAGCCTTCAATGATCCACTAAAGTTCAGTGTAATTTTTAAATGCTTAAACGCAATGTAAAAGCCTACCCGACCCATGATTCCTTACCTATACCACAGAACACAGAAAATTGAGTGTTTGTTTTCTCAATTATCCCAAGAATGGCACATCCCTAGGACCCCTCTAGATGCACAAGAAAAAAGTTAATTCATTCTACAGAATAGATGCCTTAAGTTTTATCTATGAATTCTCCAGCAGAGCCCAGTGAAGAAATGACTAGACCCTTGTGTTGCCTAAATATTAATGATTAAGATTCACAAACAGAAAGTGTTTTTATGTGTACAGTTGTGATTTCTCACAAGCTCTCAGAAAAAAGAACATTAGCATTTTGTTTGGCAGATTGTATAATTATGCTTCTTAAAAGACTTCTAAGAGTTATTTAGAAAAACATGGACAAGGAGTGGGACAGTCATGGCTTGAGCCTAGACACTGTACTATATTATTACTTAAGTAAAATCATAAATTTTAATAAAGTACACATATGAATTCCACATTTCCATTTTTAAAATATCACTAAGTAATTACAGTCACAGATATAAGAAGAATTGGTAATTTAAGGTTCTACTTTACCTAAATATATCAATCCAAATCCTCCAGAGCCAATCTTCTGGCCCAGTACCCACTGATTGCCTTCCATATCGTCCAGAACCTTGCCTTCTGGAAGTGGAATAGGAAGTTTGTATTTCTCATTTCTTCTTGGTGGCATCACTTCTGTTGGCAGAAGGGGTGAGATAAATGGGTAAAAATAAAAACAAACAAAACTCTTTAGAATTAAAATACATTTCCCAAAATGTCTTCAATGGGGAACTTTCCCAGGTTCCCAGAAACTAGGATTCTAAAGTTAACTCAGTTTGGAAAAGTCCACACATTACAATCAAATTAGAAATTCACATACATTACAATATTGAGCTCTAAGAGGTAATGATATTAAAAAAAAAAAAAAAAAAAAAAAAAAAAACAGAAACAAATCAATCAAATGTCATTTAATACATTTCCAAAATTCATTTAGGGGGTCTATAGCACATATTAACAGTGCAGGATAAACCTTAAGAAACAAGAAATTAACAATTTCCAATGAAAAAAGAAAATACATTTCATATACATGGAATTATTGCTTTCATTGAGAATGTGAAGCGTTAAAAATGAGAGGGTCTTCAGTCACTAGAAAAGAACAAAGAAGCGGATTGGGAAAACAGACAATGGCAATGGACATCACCACCACCAAGCAAAGCATATGACACCATGGAGGTACTCAGTAAATGTTTATTACATAAGCCAGGGATTTTTATGGATATAAAATTTAGCAGAATACTAGGCCATGGGGTAGTTCCCAGGCTGCCAAAATATTCTCAGCATTTTGTCTTCTTACTCTCTCCTTCTCAGTTCATCACAGTGAAATGTGATGAGAGATTTGCCATAAAACTCGCGTTGAGGACTTCATCTTAGCCCTAGGAAGGTACCCAGAGATTACTGCCTTGCAGATTACTGCTGTGCCACCACCAACAAAAGCATAATCTCCATAGTATAGCCATGCAACTTTAATCAACTAATTGTACACAGGTTAATCAAATTTTTCAATGGGAGATTTTGAGTCAAAAGAGAAAATTTCTTAGGGGAAATATATATATATATGCGCACACACACACACATATATATATGCGCTAGCATACATGCCTGAAAAGGTAACCATGATCCTCTAAGTATTTCTGAAGAATTTTTTAAAACTATTAAGGGCTTTTGATATGAAAGTTAACTATAAACATATATACATAAATGTAAAGTTTTCTTTATGTAACCTTATCTTCCGAAAGTGTCTGTTTTTCCTTTAACAGGTTCTTCCTCCTTCACTTAATCCAATGCCCTGCTTTTCTACTTAGCAGCGTCCCGGGTAGAGTCGCTGCTTCTATCTTTAACATTATTCACCTGTCCTCCTGATAAGCACACAAGGGAAGCTAGGAATTTGGATGGTGAACCGTGCCTAGAGCATTGATTGTATTCTAAAATAGGAAGTTTTTGTGGAGGTTTCCCTTCACCAGTACATTATAGATGCTGGTGCCTAGTACAGATCTGCTGATTTAAAACTTAAAGTCTTCGAAGTGTGAACTACTGATTAAGGCATAAATTCTAAATAATTACCAAGAGGATAAATACACTTTGGGGCAAGACAGCAGCATCAGGACTTGAGGCGAGAAAGGAGACCCTATGAAAGTCACATCCTGGGGGCGGGTCCCGAGTTCATCTGCTCCGGGAAGCGACAGCCTCCTCTCAGGGCCAGTCCCTGTCACGGTGTCCCTTCAGCTTCTGGGTGCCTTCCGGGGCTAAGATGAAGTCCTCAACATGAGCTTCCGGGCAAACTGGTACCCAGAGGTTAACATAAGCCAGGGCTGACCTCCAACCCCGCCGCGGCCCCTGACCCTGCGTCAATCAACGAGAGCAGCGCCGCTCAGCTGCCCGGTCCGTCCGTGCTTGGCCCCCCAGGGACCCCCGGCCATCACCGGGCCTCCACTACCGCGCAGCGAACTAACTTCCCGCCCCAAGTTCTCTCTGCACCGGCAAAAAGACAAACTCCACCCTCTTTTCCGCTAACACATCGGACCCCGCTTTTGGCAAACCGGAGATGAAGGAGACTCCTGGTTCTCACTCCAAGCGGGGAAAAAGCCAGGAACGAAACGCGGAAGCAGCGACCCTGCCTGAGCCGGGGCTGAGGGCCGGGGGCTGGGACGCGGCCCGGGACACGGCCCGGAGCCCTGGCGTCTCACTCCGACCGCAGCCCTTCCCCGAGCGGGGCAGCGGCTAGGGCACTACGAGCGGAGAGCTGGGCGCGGAAGTGCGGGGGTGCAGCCTCTCACCCTCGGACCCCTGACCGAGAAACTGACCGGGCCTCAGTGTCCCCCGCTGCCGGGTAGCGCGCGCCGCCTCCCGCCTCCCGCTCAGCACTGGGCGGGGCCCCGGGCCTGCAATCCCGCGGGGAGGCGGGCCCAGCACTCCAGCAGGCCCGCGGTAGGCCCTTTCTAACTTCTCTCCAGCTGTGTCGGCCTCGTGGTGCAGCGGCCCTCGGAACCTCGCACAGGCCGCAGCCGGTTCCTTCCAGCCGCCTGTCCACGCCCTGGAGACGCCCAGAGGAAGGAGAGGGCGCGGCTACAAAGGGAACGGGAGCTGTGTTATTACCTCCACCCTGGCCCGCCAGCGTCTGGACGAATAGCCGCCGCCACACGAGTTGGGGACGAAATAAGCAGGACATGGATTTGTGCAGGAGGAGTGTTAGGTCTCCCGTATCATGACCTGAGTACCACGAGCTTCCGAATGGCCAGGCCTTACCGAGCTCTCGCCGAACAACTAGTGGTACTAGCGAAGATTCCAGTTACGGGGGCCTGTAACTCCCCGCCTTTAAATTCTCAAAGGCATATTGGTTCAGGACCTATTTCTGTCATTAATCGTCGGATAATTTTAACAACGTACTTACAAACTTCAGGTTTTGTGTCTTTGAAATGGAAATAATCCTAGTTATTAGATTATAAGGTCTATAAAATTATGACAATAAGGTGAGGACTTTATTAAGCACTTTTCTAATATATAAAGATTCATAATGGCCAGGGGCGGTGGCACACGCCTGTAATCCCCAGCACTTTGGGAGGCCGAGGTGGGTGAATCATCTGAGGTCAGGAGTTCGAGACCAGCCTGGCCAATGAGACCAGCCTGGCCAATGGGGCGAAACCTCGTCTCTACCAAAAATACACAAAAATAGACAGGCGTGGTGGTGGACGCCTGTAATCCCAGCTACTTGGGAGGCTGAGGCAGGAGAAGCACTTGAACCCGGGAGGCGGAGGTTGCAGTGAGCTGAGATTGTGCCATTGCACTCCAGCCTGGGCAACAAAAGTGAAACTCCATCTTGGAGTGTTGGGAGGGTGGGGTGGGAAGACTCATGGTAAGCTTATGTTTTAGACTAGACCAAACAAATGCTTAGAAAAAGGTTATTAAACAATACGTCAGCATTCTACATAGGAACCACCGATAATTGGTTGGGATGAAAATACTGAAAGGAAAATTGAAGCCCCTTAATGACTTTGATAGACTAAGGAATTGGGACCTTCTACATCTTTCAAACTATCACCAAAATGAAAGATGGCATGAGAAGACATTTCTAAAAACAAACAAAAAAAAGTATTTTTAAAAGAAACTTAGTCTATAGAATAATTGTGCCCTGCGAGGCATTTACTGGCCCAACAGTGTTCATTCTTATTTCCCTAAGATATATATGTAACAGATGCAATTGGTTACCGATCCTAATATCCATACTGGGTACTCTTTCCTCCTTTCCAAATTTGTTGAGCTTTCCACCACTTCCCCAGGTCCCTTTTGGGAAGACACAACTTCAGTACCAGCCATAGCAGATTACTTATAGGTGGTTCCTCTCCCTCCCTGTAGGTATATATGTATCCCGTGTGTTAGTAAATCCTGTTTGCTCAACCCTCAAAATACACTCAGCATCTCTCACTTAGCACCCTTACCGGCATTCTGGCTCAAACCATATTTTTTCTCTAGGTAATTGTAATACCCTCCTACATGTTTTATACCTTCTTGCCCCTTTAGTCTTTTCAAAACAAATAGCCATATGGTCCTTAAAACTTAAATAATTCCTGAGCTTAAAACAATTCAGTGTCATTCCAATTTACTCACTACTAGCCAATCTTCACTATGACCTTAAACAGCATTTCTCCACCTGGGCACTATTGACAGCCTGGATAATTCTTTGTTGGGGTTGGAGGAGGAGGAGGATTGAAAGGATACTGCTAAATATCCTGTGCATTGTAGGATATTTTGCAGTATGCCTAGTCTCCCTAGCACTCCCTCCCACGCAAGTTATGACAACCAAAATGTCCCCCAACATCAACAAATTTTGCCAGACTTGCCACTGGTAGAAAACAACAGTGATCTACCTATTATGCACCCGACTCCCCAATCTCCTATTACTCTCTTCAACTACAGTGGCCTGCTGATCTCAAGAACTTTGCACATTTCCTGCCACCTGGACCACTCTTCAACCTCGTGTTTGTATGGCCTACTCCATCACTTTCTTTAGGTCTTTATTTAAAAGTTAATTCGGTGAGACCTTTCCTGAACCAATCCTATCTGAAATTTCAACCCACCCACAATATTTCATAGCTTCTTTCCCTGTATTTTCCCCTAGTACTTACTGCTACACAGCAATATATTATACAATTTATTATTTATTTTGACAAAAGACAGTTTTTTCAGTAAATTGTATGTTTCATGAGGTCAGGCAAGATTTTTGCCTGTTTTCGTTACTACTGTATCCCCAATGCCTAGAAAAGATATAGACAACCATTTCCTTGTTGAATGAATAAATGAATCATGGTGGCTCCATTCCAATTTCAATGATTGGTTTAGACAGTACAAAATAAACGTGTTGAATCTAGGTAATAAGAGGTGAAAAAAAGTTTCCTGGACACATTCTTGAAAGATATAGTATGTGATGTGATGCTTAAAATGACTGCAGTCATTTTGTGACCATGAAGGTCAGAGAAAGTATAAACCTAAAGCCCCAGGAATGGTAGGATACTCAACAAATGATGTTAGAACAGCTAGACATCCATATGTACAAAAAAGAAAGAGGCTAGGCGCAGTGGCTCATGTCTGTAATCCCAGCACTTTGGGAGGCCGAGGCAGGCAGATCACGAGGTCAGGAGATCAAGACCATCCTGGCTAACACAGTGAAACCTGTCTCTACTAAAAATACAAAAAAGAAATTAGCCATGAGTGGTGGCAAACACCTGTAGTCCCAGCTACTAGGGAGGCTGAGACAGGAGAATCACTTGAACCCAGGAGGTGGAGATTGCATTGAGCTGAGATTGCAGTGAGCCGAGATTTCACCACTGCACTCCAACCTGGGCAACAGAGAGAGACTCTGTCTCAAAAAAAAAAAAAAAGAAGAAGAAGAAGAAAGAAAAAAACCTCAACCCTAATTCATACCTCATGTAAAAATTAACTTGAAATTGATCATACAGCTAAATGTAAATACAAGATCTAAATCTAAAACTTTTTAGAGAAAACCTGGCAGAAAATCTAAAATCTTTGAATGTGTGTACTTATAAGGAACAAAAAATTTTTAAGCTGGAAACCTAAAAAGAAGAAATTGACAATTTACATCAAAATGAAAACCTTTATTAAGTTACCAAGTGTTAATAAGGATTTGGAACAACTTGGAACTCTCTTATACTGCTGTTGATGGTACAGCCACTTTGGAAAACAGATTGGCAGGTTCTTATAATGTCAAACATGTAATTAACATACAACCCAGCATTTGCATATTTACCCAAGATAAATTGAAACCTGTGTCCACACAAAGACTTGTAGGGGAATCTTTAGAGCAGTTTTATATGTAATAGCCAAAAACTGGAGATAAATTTCCATCAACTGGTAAATGAACAAACAAACTATCTACTATATAATGGATTATCATTCAGCAATAAAAAGGAGCAAAGTACGAATACAGTCAACAAGCTGGATGAATCTCAAAAGCATGATTCTATGTGAAAGAAAGAAGACACAATGGAGTATATACAATGTAATCATTTATTCAAAATTGAAGAGCTGGGCTTGACTGCAAAGAGCTGAAACGTTGCAAACGTTAAATTTCTTTATTGTGGTAGTAGATGTATTATTATACATTTGTCAAAATTCCTCTATACGCTTAAAATCGAATTTTATATAAATTATGCCTCAATAAAATAGATTTAAAAGAATGGCAAAAGAGAAACATGGGAAGATCCTGAGTCTTTGAAGCCATTATTGAACTACTAATTCAGCTAATCCTGAACCACCTTATTTTCGTATTCATCCATGAGGTGTTAAGTGTTCTTATCATTTAAACCACCCAGCATTGGTTTTTATGTTTCTTGCAGCCAAAATCTTCCTAAGAGTAAAATTAAGATTCAAGTTTCTTAAGTGCCAGTGATTTTTAAATGTTAATAAATTTGTACTAAATAAAAATGGCAAGAGAAGAGCAGGTAAACCTGTATTGAGAATATGTGTTTTCTTTAAGTGTTGGGATTTAATGCAGAATTTTATGATTCAGAGCATATTGCTGTGTGTATGTTTCAAGATGAAAACTGACAGAATATAGAAATACAAATTTTGGAACTAGTGAAAGAACATCTTCTGAATGAACATGATGAGAAACAAGAAAGAAAAGAGAATCTAGACATGAAAGCACTGAAGTGTGAGTCATCAAAAAAAATATATGGGGAAAACAAGGTTTTCAAACAAAGCTATTTTGATAGATCTTACAGGCTGTGAATGATTCACCACAAACACACACACACACAAAAGGACTTTCTTGGCTGTATGCCAACTGGTAGGTATGGCATGGGTTCTGCTTTTCAAAAAACCAGGTGCTGTAAAATGCTTACATTGGTTAAAAAGAAAAAGAAATACCCAACCATTTAGTGAGCATACTTTACAAGGCCAAGATCATTTCAAATCAATTAAAGTGTTAAAGATGATGCATAGACAAAACATTCAGAAAAAGCCAATTTTTGTTATTTAAAGTAAAATAAGGAGATTACATCAGTGGAAGCATTTTGCCTGCCAAAGAAGAGCTAGTTTTTTGTTTTATAAAGTCAGGGGCCATTTGCACTCAAACTCACAATCTCTAAACAGCTAAGCAGTTCCTGACATAGAAATTTTGAAAATAGTAGAATTCAGGTAAATAGAATTCCAAGTACATCAGATATACAATCAGACCAAATTTCTGTGTCCTCTGCATTCTTTACATATAAGATCATTACAAAGTAAAAAACTTAATCGTCCAAATGACACAATTCTTGTTTGTCTATATAAATGAAGGATTCGAATATTAAAAATAATTTAAAATGTCATGTCAGTATGTCATGTAAACCAAAAGTATCTAAGTCTCAATCGATTTGGAAGTTTGTTTTGCCAAGGTTAAGGACATGCCCAGGATATAGCCTCAGGAGGTTCGAAGAATATGTGTTCAAGATGGTTGGACTACAGTTTGGTTTTATATGTTTTAGAGAGACAGAAGACATCAATCAATACTTGTAAAATATACATTGGTTCAATCTGGAAAGGCCCGACAGCTTGAATGCGGGGTGGAGGGTTCCAGGTCATAGGTGGATTTAAAGAGTTTCTGAGTTTATCTAAAGATCTGGAATCAACAGAAAGGAATATCTGGGTTAAGATAAGGGGTTATGGAGACCAAGGGTATTAGGTTACTGATGGAGCCTCCAGGTAGCAGGCTTCAGAG